ATAATGTAACGAGTTAATGACCTTTTAAATTATAACTTCCAGTGACTTTCTACTTTTATAGCACTTTAAACAATTATTTGATACAGGGTCTCACTATGTACTACCGACTCATAGTGATCCCCTGTCTCAGCCTCCTTGTGCCATCGCGCCTGCTTTGGGCATTGCTCTGGGACCGGCACGGCGTGTGGTACTGGGGATCAAACTCGGGTCTTTGCGCTTGCCAGGCAGGTGCTTAGACCACACAGCTATCTCCGCAGCCCATGTAGCACTTTTTATAACATCACATGCTTCAATATGTGTAGTTACTTCCTCTGAAACTGTTTAAGGGTGCCACTAATTAGCAGGCTAATATTCCTATTTTCAGGTTCTCTAGGGCAATATGTTTTTAGATTTCTTTGAAAGGTTCTTTAAATGGTTCTATCACCAGTCTGAAGATCTTATTTTATTTAATATTTTTTCTCTGTTTTTAGGACAAGGTCTACAGGGTGGACAGGGTCTCACTATGTACATCAGATTCACAGTGATTCTCAGTGTTTTCTCAGTGTTTTTCATGGCAAGGCACACTGGGGATGGAGCCCTGGCTGCTGTGCTCTGCCTAAGCAGGCACTTTAGGCTGCTGAGCTATCAGACCTCTTTTATTATTTGAAATAGGAAAAAAAAAAACCAATAAAACCAATTATTCAAAATAATAGAAAATTAACAATGGTTATTAATTATCTTTAAATAGATAATAATATTTCCTATTTTGTATTGTTATATTCACAGAAGTTGCTCAGATTACAAGATAAAGGCATACAAAATTAATCATACAGCATAAGAATAAACTGTCTTTCAGTGAACTAATAGAAAGTAGTATAATTATAGCTATTTTGTGGAAATATATTTTTTATTTTCCCTTCTGTTCTTTCTCCCATCCCAATTGTTCTTTCATTTTGAGCAGTATCTGGTACACATTTTAGATCTTATTTATACTCTTTCAGCTTCTTTCACTAGAAAGACAATACAGTGTTTCACATGTGAATCTGATGTAGTTCATTTATGAGTATGGCCTCTAGTTGCATCAGTTTACCTATGAAAGATCTTAATATTAAAATATCATAAATTTTCCGTTCTTATAAAAATTCATTTTCTGATAGATGAAATCACATTGTAATACTAAATATTCAGGTTAGATTTGGTGACTGTATAGCCATTATGTGTGCTAAATTATATTTTACAGTTTTTGTACAGTGCTTGGTCTGTCAATAGCTAACATAAATTAAGAGATACTCATTTCCCTTTTTTTTTTTTTAATTTTATTTATTTATTTGAGAGAGAGAGAGAGAGAGTATGTGGCCAGCTCAGCCCACCAGGGGGCAGGGCTGGCTGGCATGTGGTGCTGGGGGATTGAACCGCGGTCCCTGATGCTTTTGCTAAGCTTGTTCTAAGTAGGTGCTTTAGACCACTGAGCCATCTCTCCAGCCCCCTCATTTCCCTTTTCTGTCTCAAATCTTCTATTCACAGAGCAGCTCCCTTGTAGCCAACATATTAAGTTAGCTTACTTTCATTCTACTTAATGAGCTGTGAGATCCAGATGTGAATGTCAATGATAGCGACACTGAGTATGATACACTTAAAGAGAAATGATCTAAACAGAAATAGCTAAATGAATAAATAAATGATGATGTATGTAAAGCCATATCAATGTCTCCTTTCATTGGAGATTAATTTTATGGGATTTGTCTTCATTTGTGTTACTATTTTGGCTTACTAGTGGAAAATACAATACTCAGGCAGGTTTAAGTGGCAAAAATGAATTTACCTAGTTTGCATTCCCTTTATTATAGTTAAGCTCTTTTGAGATTTATTTAAAATTACTGATATTCCTCTGTTTTTAAAGAAAATATAAAATAGTAATAAAGAAAATAATTAGAAATGCTAACGGAATTTTACTAAACAAAATGTTTATTAATAATATGCTTTTTATATGAATGAACATGGAATTACTTTTAAAATATTAATGCATAGTGTTGTAATGCATAGTGATGTCTTCCAACTATTTATTCATATTACCAGATACATGCATGCAAAATTGGAAGAAGAAAAAAAGAAATATCTAAGAAATTAAGAAGAGAAAAAAGACAAATAATTGAAAAAAGGAGACAAAATAAATTAAGCATTAATTGCTCCTTTCCATAGACCAGCAAAAATACACAGTAGAGTTGTATAAACCATCCTGCCTACATACATGGATGAATCTCTTTTTCCCCCACTCCCTCTACTGTATTTCTCAACTCAGTGACTCTTTCCTTTTGAATAAGTTCATTCCCTTTTCCCATTATCTACTGTGCTATTGAGATTCCATTTTCCATTTCAGGTTCTCACACTATGGAGAAGATACAATGTTTGCACGCAAAAGTGTGATTTATTTCACTTAAGAATATTGTTTCTAGTTCCACTTTTTGACAAAAGCCTCAAAGTTATCCTGTTTTACAGCTGATTAATATTCCATTGTGTAAAAATATCACATCTTCTTTATTCCTCAGTTGCTGGGCATCTGAGTTGTTTCTAGGATTTAGCTATGACAAATTGCACTGCTATAAACATGGGTGCACATATATCGCTATGGTGTGATGTTTTCAGTTCTTCTGGAAAAATACCCAGAAGGGGAATAGCTGGGTTGAATGGGACCTTCATTCCTAATTTTTAAAGGAATCTCCATACTAATTTACATAGTGGTTGTACCAGTCTGCACTCCCACCAACAGTGGAGAAGGTTCCTTTTCCCCACAGCCCCTCCAGCATTTACTATTGGCTGACTTCTGATGTTAGCCATTCTTTCTGGAGTGAGGTAGAATCTCATTGTTTTAATTTGCATTACACAAAATACCAATGATATTAAACTTCTTTTCATATATTTAATTGCCATTTGTATTTCTTCATCTAAGAAGTGTATATTCCTCTGAGATGCTAATTTCTGGACTGGGTCTTTAACTAATTTTTTAAAAGTTCTTTATATGTTTTAGATAGAAAGCCTTTGTCAGAGGGCCTATTGGCTATAATTTTTTCCCACTTCATGGATTTTCTTTTTCCTCTGTTGGTGATTTCTTTTGACATGCAGAGACTTTCCAAAAAACATGAGATCCCGGTAGTTGAGTCCTTGAAGTGTTTCCCATGCAGTTTGGTTTTCATTCATGAACTCTCTAACTAGCTCTGGCTTTAAATTTTCTACCTACATTTTCCTCCAGGAGATTTAGTGTTTCTGTTTTAATGTTTAAATCTTCAATCCATTTTGAAATTTAGTGCATAGTAATAGACCTGGGTCTAATATTTGCCTTCAGCATGAAAATCACTAAAATTCTCAAAAGAAAATATGTTGTTTTTAAATATGTCTACAGTACCAGGGGTTGAACTTATGACCCTGCACTTGCCAAGCAGGCACTTACTCTACTAAGCTATCTCCCTGTCCCTTAAAATGTATAATTTTAGTATTTAAAAGTAATCCATTGAATCCCACTGTAGAGACTGGCTCTGTTTCTGAGATGGAAACTTTAAATGTTTACATATTTTGTATTTACTTCTCAAAAATTATTTATATCATAGCTATTTCATATCTGTAGTATTTTGACACACAGTGTCCCTGATAGGGATAATAAATCATTTGATAGTATTTCTCATGTAACTGTAGTGAGCAAAAATTGTTACCAGTTTTTGTTTTACAGGTCAGTAACCAGACAAGTATGATGGTGTTGAAAACATGATTAAAATTTATATCAGAAATTCTAAGTGATTCTGTTTCTTACTGTGCTTTTAAAAAGCCTAGCAAATTTTTTAGAGTTTGGCCTACCCATTCAATGTGATGGAACAGTATTTTCTGGTGTTTTCCAGCTATATTTTCCGACTGAGCTGCACTCGACTTGGGCAGTGGGCCATTGGTTACGTGACGGGGGATGGGAATATCCTGCAGACCATTCCACACAACAAGCCCCTGTTCCAGGCCCTCATTGACGGCAGCAGGGAAGGATTGTAAGTGTGAGAAGTGGGGTTGAGTGCACTTTTGATATATAGACTTGTGGAATAGAGCCTGCCCAGTAATGGAGAAAGTAGATTGTGAGGCTGACAATTTGTTTTTTACCTTATATATTCCAATATACCTGAGATATATGTTGCATAATTCTTATTGTTCATCTCTTTAGTCATTATTTATTTATTTGATACAAGGTCTCTCTACTCAGTTCAGACTCATCATGGTCTCCTTATCTCATTCTCCCAGAGCTGGGATTACAGGTGTGCACCACTGCACCTGGTTTCAGTGGCTGGCATGGCATGTGGTACTGGGGATCGAACCCAGGTCCTTGTGCTTGCCAGGCAGGCACTTAGACCACTGAGCTATCTCTCCAGCTCTTATTCATCATTTTTAATGTAACAATTATTTAAAGCTATTAGATGTTGTACAAAATACATTACAACAAATTACTATATCAGCTTATACTTCTCGTAAAAACATTGAGTGCAGAAATCATTTAAAATAATACAGTTGTTACTTTGTTGACATAAAATACTGATTTTTTTTTTCTCCTTACTCTTTTCTCTACCATTTTTGTTCCCCCTTTATCTTCGTATACCTTTCTTTGCTTGTAATAGTAGTCTATCCAAATTTCTTTCCTGCATTTTTTTCCTTTCCTTTTTGAAAAGTTTTTCTTCTGGTAGTTGCAGGGATTGAATCTAGATCTTCCTCTGAGCTATATCCCCAGCCCTTTTTTCTTCTTTGAGACAGGATCTTGCTCAAGGTGTGCCCCCACTTGGAGTCCTATTGCCTGGGCCTCAGGGTACATAGGATGACAGGCATGTGCCAAAGAGCCTGGCCAACAGTACCCTTTTAAAATCCCTTTAGCTCTCTGTTGCATGAGTAACTTAGTGATACATATAATCTAATTTGCAGGAATGGATCATGATAGGGATGTTGCAGGAGATCCTCCACCACAATTAATGAAGAGCATATAGTCTAAGTCCTACTGTTCTGTAAAGAAGAGCTCCTTAAAAGATAGTGTTAAGTGAAATAAGGTGGACACACAAGCTTACATATTACATAGTATTTCGTATATGAGAAATCCATATTAAAGAGGAAACAAGACAGATTACAGGAAACAGCGAGATAGAGCAAAGACTAACGGAGGGAAACATAAAAGGAAGAGAATGATAAAAAAAATTTAAGATGTGTTATGTACATGTGCCAACAACTCCCCGCCATGAATGTAATCACTACATGCTGCAAAAATATACTGATAATATTTAAAAGACAATAAGGAGGCTGGGGAGATAGCTCAGTGGAATAAGCACTTCCCTGGCATGCGCAAGGGGCTGAGTTCAGTCCCCGGTTCCACGAAAAGAAAAAAGAAAAAGAAAAGAAAAGAAGAAAGATAAAAAAAGGAAAAACTTGCTAGGATCTATGTGAAGAAACAGTGTAGGTTTTTAAAGCTACAACTTCTCAGGAAAGTTCAGAAAGTATGTTAAGTTTGAGAAACAAATGTGTATTTTTAAATTCTCATAAATTTGCTATAATTGTTTTTGTTTTACCTTAATTTTGGTGTATTTAATATTTATATGTGCAACTTCCGACATTAAACGTTTGTATAATTTTTAAGAAAATTTACTTTAAAATTTTACTTTGTAAAGGTGTGAGCAGATACACCTGTAAGACAAGTGTTTTTACGTTCTTGTGTTATTATTTAGCTTTCCATCTAGTTTTAAAAGCCAGTCTAAATAATTTTCAGAAAATTAGCCAGAAAGGGGAACAGCTGGGTTCAATGGGACTTCTAATCCTAGCTTTTGGCGAGTCTCCACACAGATTTCCATAGAGGTCGTACCAATCTCTGGACTCTCACCAACAGTGGAGAAGGATCCATTCTCCCCCATGGACCCTCCAGCATTTGTTATTGGTTGATTTCATTCTGACAGCCATTCTTCCTAGAGTGAGATGAAATCTCTGTTGTTTTAATTTGCATTTCTCAAATGATCAGTTTTATCGTGCTTTGTTTTTGACATTTTGCTTGTTTTTGGTTTTTTCCTCTTTAAAATGAAAATTTTAAAAACCTACTAAATTACAGTATTATAGTCATTGTAACAAAACTTCTGAATTCTTACACAAAATAACTGTTCTTCTTTGCATACAAACACACACCCTAAAGGAAGCATCTTCAGGCGAAACGGCTGGTAGACTCTGAGTTTACGTAGCGACAAGGATAGGATAGATTGTATTTGTTAAGTTTCCAATTTTTTTGATCAGTAGAACTGTAGAGTCATTTGGTCCAACTATTACCAATTTCAGCCAGATTTCTTTGTAATTAATCTATTATTATATGACATAGATAATATCTTGGTTTATTTTGATCCACAACAAAAATTGCTTCCTACTTCTCTGCCTTTGAGTGGCCTCCCACCAGTGGCCTGGGTAAATGGGACAACGCCTATCAAAGAGCCCTGATAAGTTAAATAGAAAGGTTTTACTTTTCTTTAGCATCTTTTTTTTTTTCCCCCTTTGTTTTGTTTTGTTTTCAGCTTCCCCAGTGCTGAGATTACAGGCACGCACCACCATGCCCAGACTTGGTCACTGGCTCAGTGCAGCATGTGGTATTGGGGATTGAACCCCAGCCCCTGCGCTTCCCTAAGCAGGCATTTAGTCCACTGAACTATCTTGCTGGCCCTAGCATCTTTACTTTATTTTCTCTTTTTAAATGTCTTTTTTTTTCCTTTTCCTTTTCCTTCTCTTTCCATTCTCCTCCCTCTTTCCCTCTACTGTCCTCTGCTCAGTAGGACACCTCCATCTCCTGTTTATTTTTCATTCTGACAAGTCGCACTAAGTGTCTTGCAAATTGCTCAGGCGAGAAAATTTCTGATGCTCTTGCCTTAGCATGGAAGAGTTTAGGGATTGTAGGTGTTCACAGTTTAACATCCTTTTTTTCTTTGTGTAATTGTTTATTTCTGAATTTATCCTAGAATTTAGACATATCTTTGAAGTATGATTAAAGCATTGCATGATAATTTTCAGTGTTTATTTTAGGAAATGAAAAGAAATAATCCAGCTTCTGCTTATTATTTCTTATTTTATAGAATTTAAACTTATCCCCACGTATTATACTGTCCCTGTATATTATAAGTCAACTCCTTTTCTTAAGTTAATAATAGAAATTCTTTTATGGTTTTTCTCTCACTGTATAAAAAGTATCTCTTATATTCATTTTTCTGAGTTTCTTACATAAATTCTGATAGTGTTATTTTTACTTAAACATATTTTTATAAAGTTTGCTAGTACAGAAAGATATTAAAAGTAACTAACCATAATTTACTTAGTTGATATCTAGCAGGAACAATTACCAAATATTTTTAATTAAAAGTAGTTATTAACTCATTAAATAATCTTGATTTTCAGGAATTTTTTGAACAATCAGTACGAACTGATTTAACAGCAAGATGGCATCATTATTATAAGCTTTAGTTTTAGATGCCTGTTCTAATAGAATATTGCTTTATTAAGACCATTCTGTTTTATTAAAGTCAATGAAACATGGAATTTCAACATTTTATGATTTTTAAAAATATATATTTGTGCATGTGTGTGGCTATTTATATGTGTATATATAATTTTTTTTTTTTTTTAAGTAGACTAAGAAAGATTGGGAAATTACAGGAAAAGGAACAACAGGAAGAAGTGTTTCAGTAACTTTGGGAAAGTTGTAGCTTTTATTTCTACTTTCTCTTGTGATAATAAATGTACAAAATTGAAAAACAATAATAGGAATAGAAATATATTCAAACTCCTGTGAAATACCATGTAACTACTATAGTCAGCAAAATTATTTTTAATTTTTATGAGGCTCATACATTAAAGAGATTTTCTTGAAAATGGTTGCTTAGCAGCTGAGTTCATATTAGTTGTATAAAAATTATTTCTATATTTTATATATCCAAAAGTATAATATTCTGAAAACAGTAAAAGAATGATTTTTTTTTTTTTTTTTTTTTGGTATTTTAGGGAAGGATCTACAGGATGTTCAGGGTCTCACTACTAGATTGGACTTGTAGTGATCCTCCTGTGTACAGCCTCCCAAGAGCTGGGATTACAGGTGTGCCACCACACCCAGTCTCAATTGCTTTCTCAACATGCCCCAGGAGCAGAGCCAGCACAGCAGGCTAGGGGATCGAACCCCCAGGCCCTGCGCCTGCTTGCAGGCACTTTAATCCACTGAGCTATTTGGCCGGCCCTCATGAATGATTTGTTATAAAAACTGGAAACATAGAAATATGTCTTTGAGTATGTGCCTCACATTAAATGACGTTAAATAGAATTAAAATATGTATTTTGAAGGTAATAAAGTTTCTTTTTAAATTCAGTTATCTTTATCCCGATGGGAGGAGTTATAATCCTGATTTAACTGGATTGTGTGAACCTACCCCCCATGATCACATAAAAGTCACACAGGTAAGGAAAATTGTTTATAATAACTTTGTAACAAATCAGAATATTTATTTTATTGATAAATCATGTGCAAGTATTTCAACAAGGGATAACTTAAGGAAGTCTAAGATGAAAAGAAATGACATATTTTGGATAGAAAATTTTGGCCTTAATGTTCTTGCTTGTAATATAATATTGGCATCTATATAGCACTTGACTTACAAGTATTTAGATGTGAGGAAAAAGACTTAGATTAGAAAACTACATAGATGATTACAAGAATTTTGTCATAGCTGTCAGTCAAATGGGTAATTAAAGATGACTGAGAAAGGGCTGGCCTCTGCCTCAGCCCCATGAGAGCTGGGATTGTAGACATGCACCACCACAGCCAGCCAATGAAAACGTTTATCTTGACTCTAAATTATATATTTGTATGATTTACACCAGCATACAAAGATCTGTCCAATAGGGTGTTCCCTGTAGTGTTGCTGATAGAAGTGAAAAGTTATAGACTACCAAAACATTCACTAAAAGATTAAATTATGGGAGCCAGCAAGATAGCTCAGCAGACTAAGTGCCTGCTTGGGCAAGCGCAGGGACCAGGGTTCAATCCCCAGCACCATATGCTGTGCTGGCCCTGCCCCTAGGCACACTGAGCCGGACACTGAGTCTGGGTGCAGTGGCACACGGCTGTAAGTAATCCCAGCACTGGGAAGGCTGAAAACAGGACTTTCACTATAAGTCTGATCTGTGTAGTGAGACCCTGTAGACCCTGTACTAAAATACATTAAAAGTTAAGGAAAAAAAATCATTATATTAAAGTACTAATATTCTTATCTCTTAGGTTACATTAAGTTCTATATCTCTCATTTTATGTATTGTAATGTTTTATAACTTAAAATTTGTTTGGGTAGTCCTAACCACTATAATTCTTATTTCAGAAAATTAAAAATTGCATTATTTCTTTTGAGTTCAGATTTTAGTTCTTATCTCGATTCATTTACTTATTTCTTTATTTTCCTAAAATATATGTCTATAGTCATATATATCATAGTATGTAAAGTTTATATGTGTACTCATTTATGTGTGCACATGCTGTGGACGTATATGCTTTGCATCTGGATTGTAATATTGTAGTGTCTTCTGGCAGGTTATGGGATAAATTCTGCAACTTACATTTTCTACTTAAGGTCAGCACAGACTAGGCTAAACAAGGCTTTATAAATAAATTTGGATTTCCTGATTCCTTTACTTTGTATTCCTCATGCTCAGCATTTTATAAAATATCTTCTTCACATTTAGCAATCAATATTTCTTTGTGACACAGATATTTCTAGTTTTGCACACTGATTATTTTACTATACCATTCTAAGCTTAAAATACTAGGACACTGAAAGAACAGAAGCTGAATAAATCACTTTTTGTTTACTGAAGTGATTGATTAGTTTTCTTAACAATGTCAGATAGGGGCAGTGCATGAACTATGGACTCGAAAACTTATTTTTTGAAGATAGTAATAAAAACTTAGTGAGATTCGAGTAATTTTTTTAAAAAAATACAATGTTTTATGCTTTAGAGAACATAAATAATAAATGTTGCTGTACTGCATGGCACACAGGATGTGCAAATGTTCCTTATCCCATTGTAGGATCTCTATATTTAAGAAATAAAATTTAATGTTCGGCTAGAATATTTTCATTTTATTTCACAGTGGAATTAGATGAGCATGTGGCATTACAAAGAACACAATTTCACTTACATTACCATTTTAAAATCAGAGGTTTTGTCTTCTGAATCTCTATAATTGTTGAAGCAACTCCCTTCTAAATAATCCAAAGTGTTAAAAGCTTATAAATTTGCTGCTAAAAGCTCGAGCATTTCAAAAATTGATTTTATAGACCAAATTGTGATTATCAATTTAAAACATGTCTTAAATGCTAACATAATTCTGATGGGATCAAGTATAAAGTATTTACTGTAAGTCATTGTGCCGGAGAAAATTGAGCATGACCAGTTTATGCTGAAAATACATTAACACTGCCTTTCCTCTCCCCCATTCCAGGAACAGTATGAATTGTACTGTGAAATGGGCTCCACTTTTCAGCTCTGTAAAATTTGTGCAGAAAATGACAAAGATGTCAAGATCGAGCCCTGTGGGCATTTGATGTGCACCTCTTGCCTGACTGCATGGCAGGTACAACCACGGTTTACTTAGCAACACATTTGCCTTATTTTCCCTTTTAGTATTTCTTTCAATTTTCTTCATCTTAATGTATCAGGAAATAATTGTACTTTGCTTTACTTGAAGTGGTTCTTTAGAAGGGTCTCGTGTATAAATTGATGTTTTTGCTGTTGTATGTTTTGTTTCTTTGGTATGTGTAACAGTTTTATCTGAGCAGTCCTACCTCCATAAGGGCATTAATTTCAGTGTGATACAGCTTTTACACACTAACCATGTTTATACAGTTTACTGTACATCAGATTCTACTTACAGTCAGCCTCTGAGTCCTAAGCAAACTATAGTAGATAGCCCATATGTTGATGTTTTCAGTCAAATCTCTTCTTCTGAGGTGTGGCTTCTTTCTCAAATATGTATGCCCCCCCCCCCCCCCGGGTGGGGGTGGTGAAGTAGGAGCATCAGAGAAAAATATCTCCCTGACACAGTTCCTACCAAAAGACATGTTAAAATTCTACTGTATTTTTTGATAACTGTCTTTCTACATTTATGCACAGATTTCACATACTGGTATTTCCTGCCAACCAGTGGCTCTGTTTTGGCAACTTCTATGTCATTTCATGTACAACAGTGTTTTATGATGATTTAAACATGTTGTTCTAAAATGCCCATGATGTACTTTTAAAATAAAAGTCTGTAAAGTTAAACCACTTAAAACACAGTTTAAAAACATTAGATTTTTCTAAAAATGTTTTATCTGTAGCCTCAAATTGCGGTACATTGGATATAATCTAATTGATGGTGAATTTATGAAGGAAAAGAAAAGATGTATATTTCCTTAGTTCTGCAATTTATTTTCAAATTTTCTTTCTAAACTTCTAAATATATTGTAAAATGTAATATGCTTTGTCTTTTCCAAATTTTCTCTTATTATAAAATTGTCTGCTTATGATTGTTCTCCGTATCATAGAAAAAGTTTTCAAACTAAATTGGACTTTAAAGTTTGTTCTTTTGTTTACCTTATGGGATTTGCTAGATGAAAACCTGCATTATTTCCCTCCTTATTCCCCAAGATCTTGGATCAGCTCATTTATTCCCTCATTTAGAAATCATCATTCAAGTGGCTGCTGAGTCCATGTTGTATAGCAATCTTTGAGCTAAGAATACTCAGATTTAGCCCTACCTCAAGAAGTTGAATAAAGATAATTACTTAAAATTGGTATCCTGTTGGTTTTCAAATCAAACTATGGATGTTAGACCATTTTTGTTATGTTCCAATTTAAATATACATGCTAGACTTTTGTTACTTTCCAATACTTTCAATGGGTGAGCTGAAATGAAAGTGCTTTTTTTTAAGGAAGTGATTTTAAAGTCTGCGTGTCTGCCAAGAAACTTAGCATAAATCAGTCAGAATCCAATAGGAAATATTAAACCTTGACCATAAAACATAATGTGATCAGCCCATGTGCATTTTTATCAAATCATTCTTCACCAAAATTTCCTTCCATCTGATGCCCAACTTTTGTTTAATTGAAATTTGTCAGAGACTTAAATTTTATGTGATTAACAGAAAATCTAAGCAATGCGTGGTAGCAGTGTCGGTTGTTACAGACTACAAGTGGTTACTCCTTAATTGCTCTCATAATGGCCCATTAGTCATGCTTCTCAAGGGGTCAGCTGCTTATTTCTCCTTCTGAAACATCTGTGTTACTGAATAAATTGAATAACCATGCCAGAGTTTGCACAGAATACTGAATAGATGAAGCAGTCACCTCTCCACGGGCCTACTTCAAAGCATTGTTACCCCGGGCGTGGCATTTCTGTCCCTCCCTGGCTTAATACAGTTTGGGGAGCGGTCGTTCACTTCCTCTTATTAATAGGATATTAACAAAATGTTTATGCTCGTGGCCTGAGCTGCTTCCCATCTTCCCTTCTGCAGTACTGTTGCGCTGCAGGGTCACCGCTCAAGGTACAAAGGAGGAAATTGTTTCCTTATATATTTTTCCAAGGAACCTAGAAAATGACTTGAGCTTTTGAATGACACCAAAATAAAATGAATAATTTGTTAGCTGAATGGGAGTACCTATGCAAAATTACTGCCAAGAACTTTAATCCAATAAAATATAAAATTAATGTTGTCTTATTTTTTCCTACATGTTTCTTCAGAATATTTTAAAGGAAGGATATTGGAATGTTCAAAACAGTAATTTACAAAAAAGTCAATAGAGAAATTCAACAAGCTCTGGTTTCAATATGATATGATTAAAGGGATTTGTGAATGTTCTGTTTGAGAGAGCATGGTAGGGAAAAACGTGTAGATGTCTCAGGGAGGTGAGAAGCAAACTCAGATAATTAAATCTTAGTAAGCAATAATCTCTTACTTTATCTTTCTTCAAAGTAAATCAAGCCTCTAATTTCTACCCTCACTGAAATTTTGTTACTTTAGTACTGCAAATTAAAAAAAAAAAATCTGTCTTTAAACATGTTTTAAGGTAGTACTTCTCTTGCTGATTACATGGTGTTTCTTTTTGCATAAATATCATTAAATGAAATGTAGACCTTCGTTTTCATTTGGAATGTAATGAAGGAACTGCAAAAGTTTGCTTAAAAAGTTGTAGTGCTGAATGAGTAAATAAGATCCAAAATTTACAATAAATATTGTGTCTTGCGAAGAAACTTCATCAGAAAAGAGAACTGATGGTGGAGAAATGAAGGAAAAGAAGAGAAAAACAAAAAGCATATATATATATATATATATATATATATATATATATACACACACACACACAAAAGATAGTTAAGATAGTTGTACAGGTGGATTCTCTTCATTGAAAAGAAAGAATTATGTTGATATTGTTCAATTTTTTATGCCTATGCTTTGAGTAACTGCTATCAAGAAAAAAATAGGCAATATATTAATTTTTGTTACTCTCTTATTAGCCTGATGTGAAACTTTGCTTTATGTCTGTGTTTCTTCTTCACTTTTAAAATAGTTATAGAGCCAGGAAGATAGCTCAGTAGAATAAAGTAGTTATAGTGGTGTCTTCAACTAGAAGACTAATAGGAAGGAAGAGGAGACAAATCCGAAAAGATGGTTTTATTTACAGAGCAAATGATTGACTCCTGAGTTTATTTTGATACTGGAGACATTCTTAATTGAGTCTAATAGGACATTTTCTAGCTGCTTCAAAGTTGGTTCCATGAAGCAAAATGTTATTGTATTTTGAACTCAGTAATTTCATGCATTAATATTTTACATTGGATTTGAGCAACAAATATTTTTAAAAAATTTTTAGTATGTGAAAATATATCCCAAGGAATTCTATCCTCACTCAGTCAAGATTTGTGTCTTCCTATTAAAAAGGTGAAACTGTAAAGAGTTGTTATTGGGGCCGGCCAAGTAGCTCAGCAGATTAAAGCACCTGCAAGCAGGCACAGGAGCCGGGGGTTCAATCCCCAGGCCTGCCATGCTGGCCCTGCCCCGAGGGCCCACTGAGACAGCAGTTGAGACTGGGCGTGGTGGCACATCCCTGTAATCCCAGCTTTGGGAGGCTGTAAACTGGCAGATCATTATGAGTCCAATCTAGTAGTGAGACCCTGAACAACCTGTAGACCCTTCCCTAAAAATAATTTTTTAAAAAAAGAGTTGTTATTGATTAGTGTAGTATCTTTCACTTGGAAATCTACAACTGAACAAAATAGTTCAAAAAATTTTTGAATTAATAAGTGATTAATTGCGAGGAGCTACTTTTGAATTTTATTTTAATCTAGTCCATAAATCTAGATTGACAAGCTACTGCATTGAAATACTTACATTAGCTGGACATGGTGGCACACCCTTATAATCCCAGCTTTGAGGGGGCTGAGGCAGGAGGATCATTGGAGTATAAGACCAGCCTGAACTGCATAGAGAATCCCTGATATTAGCATATGGAGTGGAAATAAATAGGCTCCTGAACAGACTGCTGTGGTTTTCCTCCCAGTGCTGCCGAGCTGCATACCTTTCATAAATTATGTACATTGTTAATTTTCTTACAGGTAAATTGGGAACAATAATTGTACCTGTGTTCTAGGACTACATGAGCTTAGTGCTTTTGACGGTGCTTGGAAGTGTAGTTATTACTGTTCCAAATATAGTAATATAGTCCTCACTTAGGAGACATCTTAAATTTTCAATTATGTGTAAACAGTGTACACCAATAATTCTGAAGTTTCCAAACCATATTCATGGCTTTACAAAATGAAATTGCTGTGGATATAGGAGTTTTGTTGCAAAGGATAAGGAATGTTTTCTTACCATATTTCTTCATGTTTTGAGAGTATAGTAATTAGGCCAACTGGAATGTGGATATCACTTTTTAGTGCTTTGAGCTAATGTCTCTTGGTCTCTAAAATGCCCCTTATGTTGTGCATTATCTCCTTATTCCTTGCTGATAAGACTCAATTGTCCAGTGTCACATAGAGTAATTGGTAGAGATTGAAGTCCAATCCCATGTCCTGATACACGATATCTACACTTTTTTGATCCATTGCACACATTCTTTAGTCTTCTGTTATTGATAAAATAGGGAGGAAATTAAAGACTGTCCACTTTGGGGCATTTAGTATAATATTGCTGTTAACTATCTTCTTTCGACAAAAAATTATTTATTATCTGTGGGAAATACTATGCTCTGAAAATACCTCATGTAGACTCAGCTTATTCTTTATATATAAATATTTAAAATATTATTACCTAATCTTAAAAAGATTTTAGGGTATTCTCAAAACTACATGAAATATAGTAAGGTAATATAAATTAGAAGTTACCAATAAGGGAAAACATACACAGAGAGTGGAAATAAAATATACTGCACAATGAGACTTGATTGCGTATTAGAAAAGGTGATCATTCGGAAAATGAACAAATTGTATTTTGTGTAAGTTTTATCTTAAAAAAATAAGAGAAAACATATATAAGACATGTGAGGAAAGGGGAATTTGCTATTTAAAATTTACATTTTTTCTGCTTTTCTGTCCTTGTCAGTTTATTAAGAAGTCAGCTACAGTGTATCATTAACTTTGAATGTGAGTCATTGGAGGGCATCCCACTTTCCGGGCCCCCTTGTGTCCCTCTTAGAAGCTTTCTTTCTCGCAATAAATATTTCCTACTCCAAAAAAAAAAATTAATAGTATTAGTTATTGGAATGTGATTCTGAATGTCTTTGTCAGTGTGTTACATAGGTGAGTTTCAAATATGTATTTTCTGATAACTTCTGTATCCTTTGAGCTTGAAAGCGTTTATTTGAAGAAGTGAAATCTATTGAGTCAATTAGAATAGAAGAATTTCTAAGTACTTCCTCTTAACATTCATATAACATGAACATGTTGAAGACTTGGAAAAGAGTTATTGGTCTTTCTTCACTAAGCATTTATTCTTTAATCTGCTAGTAAGTATATATTGACAGAAACATTTTTTTAATTACTGAGGGACAATCCTGATTAATTAAATGCCTATTATAGACATTGTCCATGTGTATTCAATCAATCATATGGTAGAAACTAGAGCAGAGGAACCAAAGTACCATCTGAGAATTTATGGTTAGACTTAATTTGCGTATGACAGTATTCAGGGCTTAAAGAAGAGCGATGGGTGAAGTCATATTAGAGTAAGTACCCGGAAGGAGACACAGTCTGTGTGATCTGCTTGCAAATCAGAGTGGTCATTGCATTTATCTGGTTGATTGGTACTAGGAACTTAGGTTAGTAAAACTGAACAGAAAATGCATTCTGTGATGTCTGTCATAACAGGTACTCTAACATACAGTAGCAGTTTGTGTTACATTAACCTCTCAGGTAGAAGGGTTTAAGAAAGATTTAAATTCAGATTTTAGAGGAACTATGCTGAGTCTTTTGTAGGGTCAAGAAATGAGCCTTATGTTTCACTTCCTCCTCCGCTGAGATCTGTCCAGTTACCTTACGAGTGCCTGCGGCTCTGGGAGGACGTCTGGATACAGCCACAGCCATGACTCTGTTTCTGTGGCCTCTGGTGTATTTCACTGGTTGCACACCAATTTCTTGCGTCTATACAATGCTGCTTTTGTAACTGTGACTTTGTAGTGTGTTTTGGAATCATGTATTATGATCCTGTCATTTTTTTTTCTTTTTCCAAAATTAGTTTGAAAGCAAGATTGGAGATAAAAATTAATACATAAGGAAGTTTTATATTTCAAATATTCTTCCACAAGTTGATATAGCCTTTCACTTTCTCAATCTAAATTTATGCATGTTTCCTTATGAATCCTATATAAGTCAACATTTTAAAAGACCTAAAATGTGAAAACAAACATTTACCATAGTTATATCCACAAGAACTTCTCTTATTGGTATTTCTGATTTATCATGAATTTTTTTTAACCATAATGTCCTTCTTACAGAACAGTAATGGCAGACTTAGAGCATGCATGCTGCTCGCCATCACTGTTACACAGTACTTAGCCACCTCTGTGGCCTTTTCATAAAGAAAGGCATGACACAGTTTTCAGTATTTTGTAGAAGAGCGGAGCCTTATGTATTAAATTAGAAGAGAGCACTCAAAAGCTGAAGGGGAGACTTCTTTCTTTCCCCCCCTTTACTTCTTACCCAGAAACCTTTCTCTTTTTTGCAGTGTTGTATTACAGGTATAACATTGACTTGTCTTTGGATTATTCATTATTTACAAAGACTGACCAGTGCATTTTCTGTATTTGTATAGGAGTCGGATGGCCAGGGTTGCCCCTTCTGTCGTTGCGAGATCAAAGGCACAGAGCCCATAATCGTGGACCCCTTTGATCCCAGAGATGAAGGCTCCCGGTGTTGCAGCATCATCGATCCCTTTGGCATGCCCATGCTCGACTTGGATGATGAGGACGATCGCGAGGAGTCTTTGATGATGAATCGCCTGGCAAGTGTTCGCAAGGTAAAGCTAGAAAACATGGGCTAGGACATCACTGGACATAAGAAAGTGTTGTCAGAAATGCACTGTGACAGCATATCTGGGCTGGGGAAGAAGGTTCACAAGGAAGCTGAAAAACGTAATTCATGTTGACAAACTTATAGAACCATAGAACTGAAAGAGAACTAACCTACTCTTATTTTTGGTACTCACATTTAAACCTTATAATGGCAGATGATAATAGTGTAAAGAATTAAGCATCTAAGACTGGAATAACAGTTCAGTGAAGTGAAATTTGAAAAAGGAAATTACTGCATTTGGAAATGGTACAATTATATTTGATCAGTATTCTTGGTTATGTGTAAAAATGTCTGATGACATGATTTGGGTAAGAGGAGGCCACCATGATACTGTATTTCTAAGAAAGAGATCACATAAAAATTACCTTGAATTTGCTGTGGTGTGGGTATGCTCATCCATATTGTCAGTTCAGAAAATTGGCTCTGAAGGGCTCTGAAAATTGGCTCTGTCATGCCAGAAGGTGCCCATTGGAGTTCATATAGCCAAGTTCATAAAAGACATTTCAAGAAACTAGAACGCTAGTTGAATGATTTACAAATTAGGATTAATAGTGGTCAACAGGATATCATGCTCCTTTCTTTACAGAAACATCCATAAAATCCAGAGCACATTAAAAATGTTTGTGCTTTAAAACTCAGAAAGGTGATAGCAAGTGTTCTAGAGCAGCCTTTGTTCTGGTTCATGTAGGCGGCCCACTCAAGTTACAGGGCTCGTTCTTGCCGAGTTCAGACTTGGTCTACAGAGCCACTCCGCACAGTCCTGAAAACCTTCCACTGTACTTCATCAGACTTTGGCACAAAGCACAAAAACCGTTTGCCTCCAGGTGGAGTGGCAATATTTAATTGCATCAGATTTTATTCACTGTGTGCATCTGTCTTTGCAGCAGGAAAATATTTGGTGCAGAGAAGAAGCAAGGCATTCCTTAGGGTTGCTTCCCGGCTGCGTCAAACTCTGCCTGTGACAAAGTCCAGCATTTTCAGTGTTCCCCGGTCACCTGTAACATTCTCCTTTGCATTCTCTGTAGGAAGATAGGTTGGCATCACCAAGGCTACCCTGGAAATTGGCTCTGAGCTAGGGTGATTTGTCTTCTTCACTTCATTGTTTTTTTCATGTTTTTCATACTCAGTGAGAAACTATACTGTATTTCACTCTTTAATGTAAACAATTTTATTTAAGTTTTTAGTTTCAAAATATGGGATCTCTTTGACTCAAGAGATGAAACACAGGAAGTTATTATATCTTAGCTGCACTAGAAGGAAAAAAAGGCAGTAATCACAAACTAAAACAGAGAATTGAGACTTGAATCTCAACACAACTAAAGGTCTCCTTTTAGGAAGAACTAGAAGAAAGTTCTGTCTCCATTACAAATTACTGCAGAGACCAGAGGCAGTTAGTTAACCGCTTCCTAACTCAGTTTCCTCACAGGAACAGAGACTTTTGTTGGAGTGCTATCATGTTTAGGTGACACCAAGGATTTAGGAATTGAGGGCAGTGTTGGGCCACAGAGATCACAAATGTTTATTGTTTTATCAACCCATATTAGCTAAGATTAATACCATAGTGTTACATGGTCGTATTCTAGGATACGCCCCATAACAGGCTTTAATAGAAATCATTTCATCTTCTACATACGGGTGAGCTCCCTGCAGAGTAGTACTGGAGAGACTGTTTGCTATTCTCCAGAAGTCCTGACTTTGAAACTGCCTCATGGTCACCCATGCAGTCAGGTCACAAATCTAATCTAAGCCTCATTTCCATTTCTGAAAGTATAGTACCTACCTTCCACGTTTTTGAGAGTCAAAATTAATATATGCTGTTAATATCAGTTCATTGATTTATTGCTTTTTATCTGGTAATCTCTTTGGTTTTATATCTTGTCTGCAAAATCTAAGCCATCTGCTCTTTGTCTCTTTAACAAAATATTTGCAGTCCCATGTCTAGGACGCAGCATGCATTTCAGGGATTTTTACTGAATGCATAGATAATAGAGAAAGATAGAAAAATACTTGAGAAACATGCCACAGCCTAAGTGACCTAGGTAGCAATACTTCCTAGCCGGAAAAAAAGACTAGCATTTCAATTTTCTTTACTGAATGGTTTTCTCCTTTCAGTGATCATATACAGGCCAGGTCTGAGGCCTTCAGACTAATTCTCTTAAGAACTTTGTATGCTGTCCTGCTTGGGGGAAAACATTTGTCCTCTCTGGGCTCAGGAAAAGTTGCCGTCTTTTGCGCTGGATTCAGTTGAACTTGGGCCTCTTGCCAACAGTGGTGCTGACAGGAAAGCAAATGCTGGGCGCACAGAATGAGAAGCAGAGCCTGGGCTTCTCCAGGGTCTTCCTTCCCTCTCTCCCAAGATGCTGCACGCTGCTGCCTTCCTTCTGGCGTGCTGGTGAATTTGCTGCCAGTAGGCGGAGAGCTTTTTACATTAACCCTCTCTGGGATTTACCTTCAAAGAGTAAGTTCGCAAGCATTCAGTGGCCTATGTCAGTTAAACAAAATTTTCTCTACCATCAATGTTACACTTTCCTGTAGCCATCAGATATTTTAGAAATTGAAGACTTACAAAGTGTTTGTTTTAAAGTTATCTTATATTTTAATTAAACATCTTTATCTACTGATCTGCCTCTAGTCATCTGGACATGTTGTAAATTTTATACAATTTCTGTCGATTTATTTTTCAGTAAAACCTCAATTTTGGTGTGATAGGAGCATACATTCTTTCTGAAATGGAAAATAACATTATTAGGACATTGTTTTCCTGGAGCACTTCATATGTAGTTCTACTTAAGGAATTATAGCTAATTGTTATATTTTATTTACTGTATTATCTTGTGTATTGCACTACTAATTCTTAACCCATGGTCAATATATGATTGATCTTGAGTTCCCTAGCACAAAAATTCAATCAGTAAACATTTACGAATAAACTAATAAATGTATGTACATGGATGATTGATCTTTGAGAACAATGACCTAATCTTGTGCATCTTTTTATCTTTGTCACAGCCTGAACTTAATAGCTGTGTGCATAACATAAAACTTTAGTAAGTTTTATATTATAGGAGAAAATATAAATGAAGATGTATTAGTCAGCTTTTCATTGCTGTGACAAAAACAAAGGTTTTTGTTGTTGTTGTTGTTTAACAAACTAGGAAAAGGTTTACTTGGCCAACATTTTCAGTGCTTTAGCCCATGGTCAGCTGACTCCAATGGCAAAATTACAGGGTGGGAGAGAGGTCCTCACCTCACGGAAGCCAAGAGAGACAGACAGAGACATAGAGCAGGGAGCTTCGGGACAGGGACACTGCTGTCTCCAGCCGGGCCCACCTCCTACCAGCACAGCCAACAGTGAGCTTATCAGTGGATTAGTCTGTTGATGAGGTTAGCACTGCCATAATCCAGCCACCTCCCTAAGTCCTATCCCTGGACATTGCTGTATTTAGGAATTAAGTCCTCAGCCTAAGATGGGGGTCAGGTATTTAAATCTAACACATGGCTATTTTGGCATAAAATAGACCTTTTATCCAAATTTTTTTTTCCTCTTTCTTTTATAATCATCCTGTTATCAGTTTAGTTTGGTTCGGTTTGGTTCGGTTCAGTTTGGTTTGGTTGAGACAGGGTCTCCTTATGTAGTCCAGGTTGGCCCTGAACTCAGTAGATAGTCAAGGGTGCACGTGAATTCATGGTGATTCTCCTGCCTCAGGCTCCTGAGTGCTGGCATTCCAGGTTTGCACCACTATGCCCAGCTTCATTAGATTTTGAAACATTACATTTTCTCCACTCTAAGAGTAACTGTTAGTCATTGTACAGCAGAATATTTCTATTTTTTGTATCACAAACACTCATCTTTTTGTTATTAAGTAGTTGATAACTATATTGTGAAGTTGTTCGTGCCTGTCTTAAGCTCACTGCATTCTTTGAATTAGTAATGCTTCCATCATAGTGTAGAAGACTGAATGAAATGTATGTTCCTGTTACTATGATGACATCCCATTGGCTGCAGTTTATAACTAGTGACACACTGATCATCCGGAATGTATTTTTAAATTTTTAATATAAATTAAGTACACACCGTGCTAATTTTTACAGAAGCAAATACAACCTATAAATCTATAGAACACTGAGCTGGTTGCCTTCCTTGATAAAATGTAGTTTATGCTGTTAATTGGAAGATGTTTAGATTTTTTTTTTCCTGAGTGTGTATTATGGCCTGAATTTTTGAGCTGTCCATTTCCAGGATAATTGGGTCTAATGTGAATCCTTGGAGGAAATCCAGTAGAGGTTGGTAAGGGTATCACACTTAGCCAGGTCAGATCGAGGAAAGGAATCTACTGCTACACAGAGATTTGCTTCAGTTTACTGAAGATGAAAGGGAAGTCTTAATAGTTCATTAGCAAATGTTGGTGGAACACAGTAATCAGCAAATATGTAAAGTCACATATTGATGAGCTGACCAAGAAAAGAGATCTAGATCTATTCTTAAATTTTAAACAGTGTAGCCTTTTAAAAACAGTACTTAAGAACCCTAATAAATGCATGACTAAGGTACTGCAAAACACACTAGGTGTGATCAGAGGTCAAGGGAATTCTTTTATCTTTGTTTTGTATCCTTCTAATGTCACATTTTTATTGATGTACATATGAGTGATTAAAAATGTGTTGCTTTCCCTAATAATGTATTACAAGAGAAAGGCTCTGGATAATTTCTGACCCTAAGAGAAGAATTTATGTATATAGATTATAGAGTTGTTGCAGTAATTTTAGGAAGACATCCCTTTTTTTTTTTTTTTTTTTTTTTCACATCCTAGCCACAACACTAGAGTCCAAGTTAGAAGACTAAGGGCAAAAGTAAATGCAAAATTGAAAATAGATAGTCAGAAGATATAAAATGATTTTCAGTTGGGGCCAATTCCACTTGTTCAGGGTATTCAGAAACACATT